TTTGACACATGTGTACTCTTAAACCTCATATTTTCCTCCCGAAGAAGTTTAAATGGAGTATTGCTTATAAGAAATATCAAGTGGAATATATTTAGTTGGAAAATGTTTAGAATTTAGTTTACGCCGAAAGAAGTGACTGAACAATTTTTTGGGTTACAACTATCCCACGCATTTGAGAAATAAAAAACTCTATCACTTAATTACATATCATTTTAAAAGAGTGATTTACTTAACAAAACCTTCAACCTTTTGATCCACTTTGACAATCTGATAAATTTTGCTGATTTTTTATGTTTTCTGTTTTCTTATTTGTGTGTTTTCCCTGCCTTAATGTAATGTTGATAAATCATACGTACATGTTATCATTCATTCAAGTTTTTGTGAATCTACTTATTCCATAGGCTCAAAGTCGTCTTTCTTTAGTAATTTATTACAACACAAAGGCAAAGAAATACAATGAAAGGTATTTTTTTTCCTTTTTCCTTTTTTGGGTTGGTTCACTACTCATTTCATGATGGTTTTCAATTTTGCTGCTGATCTTTTTGTAATAAAATAAAAAGAAGAAACTCTATTTTCTAGATTTGACATATATTTAGTGCTGAATAGTAATGTTAATTTTAACAAACTCTATGCAAAGAGTTAATTTTTCCTTGATAAGTAAACCTGAATTTCTATGTGGGCTTATTCGCAAGCTTGAACTATATTACATACTATTGATTCATCGAAATTTAAGTTTAAAAAAAATTACTCTATTTTGGGGATAATTACAAGAAATAGTTTTCTTGGTTTGACATTTAGTGTAGAGATTAGTACTGTGATATACTAATTTTATAATACTTTTTGATTTGGATGGTAAAAAGAACCAAATAGAAAAGGTTACTATGAACTTCTCTGCAGGGCTATTTACATGTTTGACTGTTTCTGATTCTTTTAGTATATCCAAATTAGTGTAGGAAGAAAAAATTCTGAAGACCCATATCTTCCTGCTATAAGTATGCTAAGAGAAGCGTTTGCTTACAATAGAACAACAATATAAGTGAAAGATCTTGAGATTGAGGCTTAACTATTATAGTTTTGTTTATTTGTTTATTAGGAGTAACTTTTGTCTGGTTAGACATTTGTGACTAAGTAATCCATGCTATTTCTAATTCTTCAAAAACTCAAGAATATTAGGCAAGCACACTTTTATGACATATTAACATGAAGATGCAGAACTAGAAAAGTGGAGTAGTTCCGATACTTTTACTTTAGGCATTTTGTTGTTGGGCTGCCACAACTCTCTTTTTTATTTGTTCTTTATTTGTAGCAAAACAAAATTTAGGTGAAGTTTTCATTGAGTTTTGGTTTACTTTATTGTTGAAGTTTTGTAAATATGTAAAGTTATAAACGTGTATGTGTAAGTTATTCTTTTTGACAGAAAACTAGAAAATGTTTATAGTTATTGCAAATTTACTTTTCAGTCATTACGAAAGTATTACCGTAAATTAAATGATATTTTTATGATCGCGCGAAAGCGCGAACAAATTTACTAGTATATAAAATAAGCGGGACCCTGGAGAGGGGCCCCTGAGGGCTGAGTATACCACGTACTTAATAAATGTCATAGACTCTCTCTCTAACTCAAGTTCCTGGGACAAGGCTTTGCAAAAATAATGCAACCAACATTTTATATAAAACGATAATAATTATATCAAATCACGCTCTTTATCATTTTAAATGAAAAGACTAGAAAAATATAAATCATGATACAAACTTTTAAAATATTTATATCAACCCATAATTTTAATAAGAATCATGCAAAATCATTTCAACTTCATTAAGTCACTGAAATCACTTTTGTCTCCTCAGGACTAAACATAACAAAATTATCTTTTACCTTTTCACCGAGAGTACTATAGTGACATCGGCATAATAAACCATCACTAGGTGATAAACCTAGCAACAAGCATTTGGCCCTACTTGTCTGAGTGACTTCTTGTAGTGTCGTACGAGTCGACTTAACCTCATTACTTTAAGCAATGGTCATTTGCCCTCACAATGAGGGGACTTTATCCCACAAACCTCGGCTTAGCCTTGGAATGTGTCCCTAAACCGACACATGTAGTTCCATGATAACCAACTCAACATCCGAACCAATCTCGGTGGTCTCCACTAGTAACTCCCAAAATATTTGATATTTCAAAAATAGATTTATAGCATAGTAGCTTCAAATGATCTATTTTTATCAAATCATTGCTCATGGATAAATTAAACCATTTGAATAAAAACAATAAAACATATGATCTTCTTCATGTTAAAGCCTTTAGCAATTTAATATTAATCATTCCAAAATATAATGAGTGATATCAGTTAATGTAATAGCCCATAATTTTAAAATAAGGACATAATGTGAAAGAACAGNCTTGATAAGTAAACCTGAATTTCTATGTGGGCTTATTCGCAAGATTGAACTATATTAATTTAGTGTAGAGATTAGTACTGTGATATACTAATTTTATAATAGTTTTTGATTTGGATGGTAAAAAGAACCAAATAGAAAAGGTTACTAAGAACTTCTCTGTAGGGCTATTTACACGTTTGACTGTTTCTGATTCTTTTAGTATATCCAAATTAGTGTAGGAAGAAAAAATTCTGAAGACCCATATCTTCCTGCTATAAGTATGCTAAGAGAAGCGTTTGCTTACAATAGAACAACAATATAAGTGAAAGATCTTGAGATTGAGGCTTAACTATTATAGTTTTGTTTATTTGTTTATTAGGAGTAACTTTTGTCTGGTTAGACATTTGTGACTAAGTAATCCATGCTATTTCTAATTCTTCAAAAACTCAAGAATATTAGGCAAGCACACTTTTATGACATATTAACATGAAGATGCAGAACTAGAAAAGTGGAGTAGTTCCGATACTTTTACTTTAGGCATTTTGTTGTTGGGCTGCCACAACTCTCTTTTTTATTTGTTCTTTATTTGTAGCAAAACAAAATTTAGGTGAAGTTTTCATTGAGTTTTGGTTTACTTTATTGTTGAAGTTTTGTAAATATGTAAAGTTATAAACGTGTATGTGTAAGTTATTCTTTTTGACAGAAAACTAGAAAATG